GTATGCTTCTGGGGTGAAAGGATACAGATTATGGTGTTCTGATTCCAAATCCCCAAAATTTATAATCAGTAGAGATGTTACTTTTGATGAATTATCTATGTTATCTTCTAAAAAGGATTCTACTAGTTGTACAAATGATAGTGCGTAGAAGCAAGTGGAGCTTGAGATTGGTAGTTCAGATTCTTTTAAGTCGAACTCTTCTTCTCAAAGAATGCCAGTAGATGGTCCCGAGTCTACTGATGCAGTTGCTCCAAAGGAAGAGCAATATTCCATAGCCAAGGATAGACCACGGAGAAATATTCGACCACCACAAAGATATGCAAATTTAGTTGCAAATGCTTTGTCTGTTGCAGAAGAGACAAGTGAAGTTGGTGAGCCTACTTCCTACTCAGATGCAGTTTCTTGTGATAATTCCGCTAAGTAGTTGATTACGATAAATAAAGAAATAGAATCTCTCCATCGGAATAAAACTTGGGATCTTGTGAAGCCGCCTTCGGGTAAGAAAATTGTTGGATGCAAATGGGATACTATTGCTGAGGGAAAAGTCTTGTTCAGAAAATTCATATGAAGGACAATCCAGCTGATATGTTTATGAAGCCTCTTCCAGTTTACAAGTTCAAGTAGTGCTTGGACTTGGTTGATGTTCATTGTTGGTGATTGCCCGTTGGGGCTTTTATGAAGAAGGTGGAGCAAGTTTTGTTGGGACATGTCAAGGTGGAGATTTGTTAGTTTGGCAAGTCCCATAGTCCCACATCGGGAAAATCAGACTTGTTGTCTCGTATTGGAACTATAAATAAGGGTCTGAGCTTTGAAGTCAGATGCACCACAAGAGGCACCACAAGAAAACCTAATTGGTTGCTTTAGGCTTTTCTTGTTCAGTAATTTTCGGTGTCTTATGGCCTAGGAACATCTTCCTAAGGCATTTGTAATTGTCCCTTTTATAGTAGTGATTTGCTCCTCTTTCGTCCGTGGATGTAGGTCAAAGTCAATTGACCGAACCACATAAATTTGGTGTTCTTGTCGCTTTTATTTTTTCCGCTTTATTGTCTTTGTTGGGTTGCCAAAATTATCCTTTGGTAAATTTCCTGGGGCTAGCTCTAACAAGATCAAGTTCTAAATTCAAGAAATCAAGATCATAATCCAAAAAATGTATAAGAAGAATTTATGCATTTGGGAGATCTAACATGTCTAAGTTTATCATTCAAGCTAGCAAACTTGGTTCTCTTAAGATGTTAGATATTTTCTTTCCTCTTTTTGTCATTATAAATAAGAAAAAATAAGGGAAGAACATAATGGTATAAAATATTTTAATCATTAAGACATACAAGCCATAAATACAAAACGATCATGTCATGAAAGATAAGACCACTTAAATATCAAAAGACATTATTCATATAGTAAATCTCTTCTTTAAATAAAATATCAAGAAGAATCGTAGAAGAACGATTAATATAAAATCTCGATTCATAATAAATCTTAATTTGTAAATATCAAGGAATCAAGATCGTAATTTGGATAAAAATTTATTCAAATTTAAATCATCAAAATCATTTTTAAAGTCAAAGAGATTTGTCAAAATGATACAAATAGATTCATCAAAATCAATAAGATAGAGAAAAAAAAATCAAAAAAAATATTTTTCTCTTTTTAGTTGTTTCAATTCATATGATTTATTTCATTTATGTCAAAAAAAAGCATATATCATGTTTAAAACCAAAAGTGCAAGATTTATTACGACAAAGATTAGTAAGGCATAAATCACCCAAAAATCATCATTACTTCAAATCATCATACATAATTTCGAAAGATAAATTCATTAAGCACGATCATTATGCATCATTATATTATTTCATCATGATTTCATAAAGTGCTTTCAATCAAAAGTAATATAGAAATCATTAAGATACACATTATCATTAAAACAACTAGCATGATTTAAGTCTAACATTTTGTTCCTTTATCATAACACATGTAATTTTTATGATTATTTTCAAAATTACTAGATAAGAATGATTCCTAATTTTTTGCATTATCATTTATTAAACATGTAAATTTAAAGAAAAATAATTATTCTAAACTAAAAAAATAACTCATGGAAAGTAATATGTAATTTCAAAGTAAACTAAGGGCATTTTGATTACCTCATCATCGAAAGTTAAGGCATAGTTTGTCACCTCGCTTTTATCGATTTGTCCCAAGTCGCTTGTTAGGACTCTAGCTAGGAGAGTCCTAATTGATAGGGACATTCATGTAAAACCTACCTAAGCAGACCCCTATTAAAGATGTGAAGAGGCCAACTAGGGTTAGGAGGTTGTTTCTTAGAGAAGAATAAGGAGTTATAAAATAATAGGAGTCTTGAGTATGAGTCCTATTAGGAGTTAGTTAGAAGTAGGAGTCTTGAGTAGGAGTCCTATTAGGAGTTAGGGTTTAGAAGCCCTATAAATAGTCATATATTTCTTATCTTTTGATAAGCAATAGATGAATCTTTTTGGCAACCTTTGAGCAGCAACTCCAAGGGAGGAACTCCTATAGAGTTCTAAGGAGGCCGATCCCCTAAAGAGATCAACCACAAGTTTAGAATCTGTAAGAGTTCTAATACCTAGTATCAGAGCAGCATTCTTGGCATCTCACTGCCCTTCCATGGGCCCTCCATAGCCACCCAAAGTAATTCCCATAATTGCTTAAAAGATCGTCGCCAAATTCCGTCGTCATCTCCACCACCGCAGATCATCCTTTGATCTCCCCATGAATTACAACAAGTTCTGGTTTTCTACTTTACTACTACTGCAATTTAGTTATCCTTATTCAAAAATCCAAAAAAAATTATTCCAAAATTGCTGCATAAACTTTTCATCATAAAGTTTTCATCTCTACGACGAAAGATACATTGCAGAATTCCAACCACATAGCACAGTCTATTTGAACTTGCTACTGCATTTTTTTTATCCAAATCTCTATAAAATTTTTAGGACAACTTTGACACTTCCTAATAGCAGATTTTTCTTTGGTTTTGTCAAAAAATTTTGAATATAAACCATTGATCTTTTACGTCTAAACTGTTATACTTAAAAATCTGTACAGTAAAATTTCACCTGCATAGTACAGTTTATTTAATCTTGCTACTACGTTTTTTATATCCAAATCTTTATGAAATTCAAGATTAACTTTTCTTATCAAAATCAAATACAGTAAGTCCATATGTGTGTATTGTACTTAAAGATACAGTATAAAAAGTCTTAATTATTAGTAAAAAAAAAAGAGTGTATATTTGTTAGTAGGGATATTAAAAGTCTAATTCATTCTTCATCTTTACTTGTGATGTAACTACTATGGATCTCAATACACCTATTATCTTCTTAATATTTAAAATATATTATTTTTTAAAATAAAAACATGAAAAATAAAGACAAAGTAGTCTTGCAAGATAAAGGCCATCGAGTTTAATTGCATGCTTGGTTTTATTAGCCTCATTATGGTCTTGTACTTAAAGATACCAGAGAACTACTTGAATAGATGATGAATTATTAATGTGAGCTTCTACGAATTATCTAATTTCTTAGATGCAGCCATATACAAATACTCTTATATGTAAGAGCATCTACAAGAGATGTGCCTAGAGTCACATCTCATGAAAAAAATACTTTTTAGGTCTTCAATTACATCCAGTCTAGTATTCTAGTGAGTATAATTTTAAACAACATTTGATCCCAATCAAATATAGTTGGACTAAAGTAGTATCAAAATAATGGGTCTTATTAACTGTAATTTGAATTTATTTGAGGAGTAAAATTATTGTGACCTGATCTAATGGAAGAACTGATTTATTAATTTAATGAACCTAAACCATTGGCACATGATAAGTAAATGGCGTTTCCACCTGGTCTCGCTTAACATCTAATCAAAGGGAAAGCACAAAACTTGTGGATCATCCAAGCAGAAAGCAAATGGCGTTGCCTGATGCTGGAGCTCATCCTCTTTCCTCCAAGTTCACTGCTCCTACCATGTTGGTTCAAGTTCACTGCTCTTTCCTCCAAGTCCATAACATGATAAGTAGGGCGAAGTGGAGAACACGAGGGGTCAGAAAACGGATTGGATTAAGTGGTCCAAAGCCATGTTGGTTCGACCAGGAAGCTTGTAAAAGGTTCCTTGTGCAAGATGAAGAGAGGACATGCACGCCATCGAAGAAGAAACAGCACGGTTTGATGCTGAGATAAAAAGCCTTCATCTTTGACCAGAAGCAATTCCAGTCCCTTTGAATGGGATCCACATTCCACAAGGAGTACTCAGCTCCAGCTCAACCTTATGTAAGAAAAGAAATGATCTTTGCAAAGTTGCAACTACTTACTGAATTTGATCATTGGAAATATTAAGGTAACAACAACAAGAGGGTTCGAATCTACATCAGATGTTTCATAGATAGCAGGAGCGGCGGTGCGTCATGTCTGAGGCCTCTGATGTGTGTGGTGTAGGCTACTGAATCCCTGCCAATACTCTGCTAAAGAAAGAACATTGTCACGTGAAACTCACAAGTACCGACTGGTGCTGCACGCCACCTGGCTCTCTGGTTCTGTAAAATAAACATCAAACCCTCCGCAGAACTCACTAGAGTTGTGAGCAGCAGTCACTGCAATCCAGGTTGGACTGTACTGCTACCGGAGAGTGTCACACCCTCGTCCCAGTCCCCGGCTTATAAAGAACAAAGAATGTCACAGCTGAATGCAACCGAATGACCTGGCAACACAAGGTTACATCACTGTCTTTTCTACTTGATATGAAAGCTGGAGGTAGACACAGATATCTCATCCGGCGGTAAGCAACACAATTTAGGGCTTAATCACAATGCAGACAGTGATAAACCAAAGTTCACAGTCCGGGAAAGTCTTCCTGGGACCAATCTGACTGTGTAGCTCTTAACTGTCAGCAAATAACTCACAAAAAACATGAGGCAGGCCACGAATCATACACAGGAGCACTAAGCATTTATCAGCACAAGGCTGCACTCACACATACTGCTGAATAATTTATTAGTAGATAACAATTCGAGACCAACATGACATTTATCTGCTCCAAGTGCAAAGATCGTGGCGACTCGGGGCTCGCAGATCACACAAGAACAGAGACACTTCCTAATATCACCTCACTTATTCCTATCACAACAAACATCAGAAGGAACACAATGACACATCCAACATAGATCAATTAACATAACTCAATAGTAAATAGACTACGTACACAACAGCTTACTGCAGTTTCCCTCACATCCAGCAGAAGCTCTTCCTCTATCACTTATTTCCTTTACCAGAGTTGCTCGATCAGGATCAGGTTGCTCTTGTTGCCTTAGCATCAGCCGTTGCGGTCGCGTCCGCGATGACGACCCCCGAGCTCAAGGGCACCGGAGTGGCCTTAGAGTAGTACATCTGAGGGCGGGTATGATCGGCAGCGAATTCGTAGCCATAATTAGACATCGTTGCAGGGGAATGCGAAATATGCTGTTGCTGCTGCTGCTGCGGCACCACATGATATCCCATTCCTGCAGCAAACGAGCGGGCTTGGTCAGCCGCGACGTGGATCACCTGCGATTGCAGTGTGGCAGCAGGGGATGGAGCGGCTGTCCTATATAAGTTTGCAGGCAATTCAGAATTCGCAGGCATAGCGGGCTTTCCGCCTGAAGATATCAAGTTGGGATCCCCCATTCCGGGCTGCACCGCCGCCAGGTTGTATGATGGAGGCTGCCGAACCGGATAGTAGTACACGGGCATCTGGGGATCGTACGGGTGAGCTTGCGGTGGTTGCTGGATAGCGTGGGCGGCGACTGGAAAGTAAGACGGGACGGGGATGACACCACCAGTGGCAGGGTGGTGGATGTAATGAGGATTCGCAGGAATGTACTGATGCTGCTGATGACGATGAAGCTGGGGATGGAGCTGCTGCTCATGGAATTGCTCCGGTTGTATCGAAGGCAATTGGTATCCCGCGGCATCGATGACTGGAATCGGGATGCGATAGCTGGGATCGGAAGAGACCGGGAGCTCTCGTTTTGGTTCAGTGCCACTCACATAAGCCGTTCTAGACGAAGAGAAAATAGCATCTTTTTTTTTTTACGTTAAAACCCTCAAAGATGGAAGTTTTATTCAGAGAGGTTACGAATAGGATAGATAATACCTTGAACCTAAGTCGGAGTTGGGCGCTTCGATCCCGGTTGGTTTCGGTGGCTGCTGCGGCTTTCGGATGCCGCCCTGGTCGGACTTATCGTCATCGGAGGAGAAAGCTCTGCTAGGGTTTTCGGTAGGGGAGATGGTCAAGTTGGAAGCGGAAGAAGCGGAGAAGGGGATCGGCGGAGGGGGTTGGAGCTGAGGAGCGTACGATGGCTCCTTAAAATCGTCGCCCAGCCTCTGTCCGCCGCCGGAGGAGAGGTTCATGTGGGCGAAGTGGTCATCGAGGCCAGCGATGCGGGGATCGGAAGGGCGATCGTCGGGGCGGACGCGGATAGGCGGGAGATTGGAGAGAGAAGGGACGGAGGAGGCAGATCCAAAGGAGGAAGTAGTGTCGAGCATCGGCGAGTCGGGGACTGAGTGGACGTCCTGGACATGACGGGCAAGCTTGCCGGACGAATCCGGGCGCGGGAGTACAAGCTGCTCGGGCAGCTCCGAGTGAGTGCCTTCGCCGCCTATACCTGGCGCGGCGGCGACTGCAGCGACGCCGCGGGAGTGGATGGAAGAGTCGTCCTCGAGACCGAGGAGGCAGTTGACAGAGGTGGAGTCGGAGGAGAGGCCGCGGGGAAGGTCGTCAATTCCCATCCCGCCCATGGTGCTATTGAGCGCGTCCACGAACCAAGTCTCCGACTTAGAGTCATCCAGAAGCGATCCGATCGAGGACGTAGGCGACGACTCGGGCTTAGAAGGGAACAGGAAGAGGCGGAGACGGGAGGAGCGGTTGGAGCCGCCGCTGGTACCGGTGGAGGCGGCAGTAAGGATGCGGTCGTACTCGTCAATCATGTTTTCAAGGTCCTCGTCAGTGGCGACGGAGATGAGGGAGTCGAGGTCCTCGTTGGGGAGCTGGTACTTGAGGGAGAAGGGGCGACCGCGGAGGTGGGTCCGGGAGAGTTTGGCGGAGAGGTCGGAGAGGGACGAGTGGCGGTCGACTACCACGATGCGGGTCTCGCCACCAAGGTAGCACAGGGTCTTATCGGTGGGCCGGGGGACGATACGGCCGCCGTAGCTGCACATCAGGCGGAGGCGGCCGGCGGCAGCGGAGGGGAAGGGTGGCTCGTCCCACGAGTCGCCACCACGGGAGCGGGGGGAGGAGTCGACGGAGTCTGCGTAGCCCAGGCCTCCTCCGCTGACAGCGGCGGCTACCGCCGTTTCCATCGCCAGATGGAGCAACCTGGAGATGGAGGTGGACCGAGAGTGGGGCAGGTCGGGAGGGGGGCGTTCGGAGGAGTAAAAGGGTGGGGTTTCTATTACCTTATATTATCACGCTTTTCCAGTCCAAAAGATTCAGACTTCAGCTGTAGGATATTTTATCATTACTACTTTTATAAAAAAAATTGTGTATTACTAATTCTTTTAATTACACAAAAATGGTATCGTGCTTTCATAAGTGGAGTGGTATGGTCCGTGGGTGCGGTGGAGCGTGGGGGCCACTCCCTCTAAATGCCCAGTCTCCCAAGGAAGCTGTGGCATCCGTTGATTGTTATGAGAGGATGTGGCTGTATCATCTCGTTCTCTGCTCTTCTTTCTGCTGTATGCATAATGAGAGGGTTTTGGATACGCCTCTTGGGTAGACGGGGAGCACCAAATATTGGTTGAGTTTGCTTATTCTATAATTTGTGGGGGAAAAGTTGTTCCGAGTCTTTAACAATTTCCTCAAGAATATTTGAGTTAACATCGGAGGTGTGGGACATTTGAATCTCTTACATGTTAGTTCGTATTCACATGTTTGAACATCAGGTTTTTACAAAGTGATGTTGGTCGATTGTTGAATCAAAATTTCATCAGAATATATATATATATATATATATATATATATATATATATATATATATA